AGCACACAAAATCAAAACAACAATAAACCCCTCCACAAATACAGTAAGCATTCATGCGTGCACGCAATGCGCATCGCACAATAGGCATAAACAATTAGCTTGTGTACTTATGCACGAAAATGTGTCCGTGGCACGCGAGCGGATGAGAGTTTATGTGTGCATGGCAAGTCAACAGAAACCCGATTATGTGAGCGTGGCACGCCAGCGCATGCACAGAACAGTGTTCTTGGCACGATAAGAGTTAATAGTCATAAAGAGATAAACATGCTATCAATTTGTTTGTAAAATATGTGGAATATTATGAAAGAAAAAAAATGGCGATTCTACGTTGTGCAATAGTTTGACGCGCGAAAACGCGCACGCATGCGCGTATGCGCGTGTGCGCGATTTTTTTATAAAATGCTTAGAATGGCCTAAAACGTATGCAAAATGATTTTGAGACGATTTTGAGCATTTCAAAATTTTACGCGCGCATTGACGCGCGGACGTACGCGCACGCGCGCGTTATTTGACCTGAAATTGACCGGACGGATATTGACCCTGATCATGATAAATATGAATCAGAAATACCTTTTGGTTATGAAGATATGATCAGGAGTTGATTTTCGTAAAATTTTACAAAATGGCGCCTAGATGACGTCATCAGTGAAGGTCAATGTTGAAAACGTTATTGTGCTTTGTACATATGCCTATACATATGTGTGCCAAATTTCAAATTATTTGATTGAGCCATTTCCAAGTTATCTTGCCAACAAAAAAGTGGTTAGAAATAAGAAAAATATATAAATAATTAATAATAAATAAATAAAGGCAATTCGAACGAAATTATAAGGTGGTCTGTACGTTATACAGCCCACCTGATAAATAAATAATAAATAAATAAAAATAAAGGCAATTTTAACAACTAGAAATTGAATTCGTCATGGTGACGAATTAGGTGGTCTCTTTTCAATTTTATGATCATTGAAAAGTCAAAAAAGAAAAAAAAATGAAGAAAAAAAAATTGTTGGAGACGCCCGGACTCGAACCAGGGACCTCGAGGTCGAAAGTCAAGTGCGTTACCGATATACCAAAACATTTCCTATACAGTGTGTCCCGAAAAAAACTATACACTTTTGAAATGGCTGCCGAATAACAAATATATGATTCTAGGGGGAAAAGTTTTATATGTATGGAAAGCTCATAAACTCAACTTTCATATGACACCAAAAAGTTTGAAAATAATTCATGCTTGGGTGAGTACTGGTCACTTTTGTAAAGGGTGTGGAAATTAGGTTGCGCAGGAATTAGCCTTCCAATTTGTGAGAGGTAAATCCTTTGGAGCTTACCGAATTGAGGGTGATATGATACATTCATGATTTGCTGAGTGAATTTCATGGTTTATTAAACCAAACTTTTATGCACGGAACAGGAATTTATTTTTCTATTGTAGCATTGTAACTTTCCCTGGTAGACTCAGTGGTGTGCTCATGAGAGTCCGGATGGGGTGATGGTACATGTTGTAATTTCCATGTTACAAACTGTTATTTGTTACATTTGTGACTTTGAATAAAAACCTTCACCCCACATTTCAGTTACCATTTACCTGAAGAATAAGTAGCCGACATCTTGGACATTCCTTTTGTCAGCAAACCGTATTTGAATATTCAATTTGCATTATCCCTACCTGGGTATTGAGTAAATCAATGAGATGTTCAACTAATCTTACAATAAGTGAAATGTGGGGTGAAGGTTTTTATTCAAAGTCACAGATGTAAGAGAATAACAGTTTGTAACATGGAAATTACAACATGTACCATCACCCCATCCTGACTCCCATGAACACACCACTGAGTCTACCAGGGAAGTTACAGTGCTACAATAAAAATGCAATTCCTGTTAACTCATGCATAACATGTTAATCCCATAAACCAAACAATTCACTCAGCAAACCCAAACTTATCACAATTGATCATAAATTGGTCATATCATCCTCAATTCGGTAAGCTCCAAAGGATTTACCTCTCACAAATTGGAAGGCTAATTCCTGCGCAACCAAATTTTCATACCCTTTACAAAAGTGAGCAGTGCTCACCCGAGCATGAATTATTTTCGCAACTTTTGGTGTCATATGAAAGTTGAGTATATGAGCTTTCCATACATATATAACTTTTCCCCCTAGAATCATATATTTGTTATTCGGCAGCCATTTCAAAAGTGTATAGTTTTTTTCGGGACACACTGTAGAGAATACACGTAAACGGAAAATGGAATTCTCAAATCCCTCTTTGCAAGTGAGATATGAGCATGATCCCGGCATCTGATCGAAAAATAAAGGGCACACTTGTGATAGCTTATTGTCTCAGCTATAACATACTCAAAGCTCAGCGTAAACAAAGATAAAACGACGGAGATATTGCTCCCGAAAGACGCGAATGTAGAATCCAGTTTTGAGAAAAAGTCATGTCCCATAGAGAATACACGCAAAATGTGAAAAATTGACATGCCTCCTTTAATCGCAAAAATACGCCATGATGCCTTTGTCAAAATGAAAAAATGTGGACATTTATTTGTAGAGCATTGTTTCAGCTAGAACATATCGAAATTTGAAAGAAAGTCAATCAATATTAACAGAAATACAATCAATTTTCGAAAAATATGCTGACGTCATAACATCCCAATTAAATTTTTGAGTTTGGAGGACAATATGGTGACGTCATGAGTTAATTAAGGGTCAAATGAGACATGAAATCATATTTACGACTCATAATCTATCTAAATATGAAAAAATATAGGGAGTTCCCAGAAAAAACGAAACCGAGAAGTATCAATGTTTTATCATATTTTAATCACAACCATAATTAATGAATGATACATATTTGGAAAGCTTATAGTCTCCTCTTTCATGTGATGCTACTCGGATAATGCATATTTCACGCATAAGCGATTAAATACAATTTGAAGGAAGGAAACCAAAAAGACATTTGGCGGGCGGTATCTGAATTTGAAGAAAAATTCACATTTCTAGAAAGTTGAGTTTCTGCCCTTTCATAATGACACCTCAATCAGGAAAAATGAGCGAGGAATGACAAAGTCCTGTTTGTTTAAAGTAGTGCTTGCATTTCCATAATTTTATTAAACGGATTCGTTTTTACTGGCTGCCTGCCGTATCAATAAACGAAATTAACAAAAGACTTAACTCCGTTTAGTTGACAATCAGCCGTAGACGAGTCTTCATGCATGGCTGATTGTCAACGAAACGGAGTTCAGTCTTTTGTCAAATCTGCTTTTTGCTACGACAGGCACCCAGTGAAAACGAATTCGTTTGTTAAAATTATGAAAATGTAAGGGCTACTTTAAACAAACAGAACTTTGTTATTCCTGGCTCATTTCTCTTGATTGAGGTATTATATGAAAGAGCAGAAAATGAACTTTCTAGAGATATGAATTTTTCTTTGAAATTCAGATACCGCCCGCCAAATTACTTTTGGGTTTCCTTCCTTCAAATTGCTTTCAATCACTCATGCGTGAAATATGCATCACATGAGTAGCATCAACTGAAAGAGGAGACTCTACGCTTTCTAAATATGTATCATTCATTAATTATGGTTGTGATTAAAATATGATAAAACATTGATACTTCTCGGTTTCGTTTTTTCTGGGACGCACTGTATATGTTATGACAGTCGAAGAAGGTGATCAAATCATATTTAAATCGGAACCAAAAAAAAAGAAAAATTGACCCACTGGAAAATCAAACCTTCGAGCCTGGGTCGATTGAATGGGAGGCAAGTGCTTTAAAGGAAAATGTCACTCCACTGAAAAAATGAGCTGATTAGATAGACAAAAATCTAAAAAGCCCATATATAACTTGATTTTGGAAAATGGTGCTCAGACATTTTTTCTTTTTTTTAATGAGTAAAAATAAAGTTAATGGTCGAGTCGGTTTTCCCCACAATGCATTTTTGTGACGTACGCGTGCGCGCCCGTTTATTGACCTGAAATTGACCAGACTGATATTGAACTTGATCATGGTAAATATGAATGAGAAATGGCTTTCGGTTATGAAGTTATGGTCATTTGAGATTTTCCAAAAAAAACACAAAATGGCGCCTGGATGACGTCATGAAGACTGGATGACCTCGAAAATGTTCCTTTCACGTCCTATGACAATGACCTATGACTGTGCCAAATTTGAAAGAGATTAGAAGGTTCAATTTTGAGTAATCGTGTGAACAAAAAAGTGTAGGAAATACAAATAAAGAAACAAAGAAAGAAAATTTGAACAAAAACAATAGGTAGTCTGTCGAAGACAGACCACCTAACTAGATCTAGATTGTAGTCTAAGCAAGATATTTTTACAACTTCGGGGTGAGCCGTCCTTGTGGGGAATATGGAGAAAAACCTGCGCTTTCATGATACCTCACTTATTTAGTATCACCTTCAGGATCACAAGCAATATTAGTTTGAATCTCTGGTAATTAAAACATCGACCAATTTAGCATGAGTGCGCAATGACCAATGCATAGTGATGTGTGCAATCTTTACGGGAAGGATTTTAGCACTAGGCCTACTAGCCCCGACTAGAATGTAGACCCCTACTAGATCTATTTTGAAGAAAAAAAATATGGAGAATTTCACTTACTCTTTTTGGTGTTCTTGCTATCAGCAAGTCTTGCATTTGGTCATCATCAAGAAGTTAACATCTTGGAAGAGTTTCTTCAGCCATTTTTGCCTTGTTTGGAATTCAGTACGATCGAGATTGCCGTATTAAAAATACCGATCAATTCTTCGCACACGTACGGTATCCTCGATCGCTCAAACCACTTTTTGACATGTGAACCTATGGGTATTTCACCAAGACTGAACTATTTTCTCGATTACTGTAATTTTACCGGGAATTTTATAGGAATAGTTAAAACCATGACTGCAATTTCGACCAATCAGATGGCTGGATTTCTTAAGTGAGGCTTATAATAAGTATTAATAATGAAAATGATACTAATAATGATGAAAACAAGAACACCAACAACAATAATAATATTAGATATATACCTCTGCATGCTCCTGTTGTAATATAGATGTCATCGAGAGCGATGTCACTATTGTAATTCGCACCAGTAACGCCCTCAAATACGAACTAAAGGAAGAACAAAAAAGTAATTCAAAGTTACTAGTATACTCATTATTATAATTAATAATAAATAATTTGGTCTTGTTGACTCAGCGTAGCCACATAAGTATTTATACTGCTATTCCTGCTGTCCCTATAAATGTTATCGCAACGACAATTGCCATGAAACCATTTACACAATACCAAAGGAGCCCAGAGGTGCATTTTATTTTGAGATTACAAAACATGTTTCTTTTCAATTCTATTTTTGTACTACGACAAACTAAAAACTGACGTTTCTAATATTAGGAACATAACAAACCATGGCGAAAATCATCCAATGACGATGGAAACGCCATTAATCTCAACAATAACAACATCAACAACTTTGATTGTCTAACCTTAAAATCGGCAGTAGGGATGAAATCAATCTGGGCCTCAAACCAGTTCCTGGACAGAGCCCCACTTTGGGTCCATAGGACCTGGCCCAGCGTGGTCCCGGTCTTGGCATAGATATTGAGTGTACCAATGCCAGCTCCCCACATGTGGTACCAAAAATCGGCGCACAATCGCCTAGACGACGCAAGAATGAGTTCCGACTCCAGTACGGCAACTTTGTTGGAAAATGACGATGCTTCTGTGTAGATATAGAATCCAGCCGCTATTATCGAAAGGAGATCGAAAAATTAATACCAGTGGAGTCAAAACGATGCCAAAAGAAATCAATCTTACGAACAGTTATCGAAATCAAGCTTTTATTGAGGTAAAAGGGCGATTATTATTTATTGTATTATGTAGGAAATAAAGATGAATATACTTTTGTTAACCAATCGGAGCCTCGTTGGCATCAATGTTGTCGTTCTTCCCTAGGACCCTTCAATTATTATTACCCCAGTAATTATTATCAGGTACCAAATAAACTTGGAATTTGAAGAAGAAACAAAAATGTAAATAGGGTTAAAAATCGATAAATGGGCAACGAATTGATAACTTCAATATCATTTCATTTCAATCAAAATTGAATTTTAAAACTTTCCACCTGTTCCTACTCATGTAAATTTTTTCAGAATCATTTCATCTCATTACTATAATGCAGCACTAGAAAGAAATAACATAACATTATAACTTTTGTTTGGGGAAATGTTATTGCCAATTTAAGCCATTGCCTGCTGGAACCGGATGGTTCCTGTACGCGAAATACGGGAATATACACTGTTGGTCATAATGGTGGAATAATTATTTTTACTCCAGTTTAGGGAAGGATTTAAAAAAATTATTTATTTCTAATAGATCTAGATAATGGCATACATTCTCAGATTTTATTGAATATTAATTTGCGAGTGTTTGTTTTGCGTGACTGTTTAATCATATGTGTGCTACTATGCTAATCAGCTAAGGGACCTACGTCCTTAAGTCATAATTGACATTAATGAGGATTAATGCCTCACAAAAGGGCACTAATATATAGCTGATCGACACGATTTTTATCCTGGGGCCTCACAGTAACGAGGCCATTGCTTAGCCCCTGAATCACGACTGTACACAGTGTTTGCTAGGGTACGCGGCCCCTTCCACAAATCCCCCAAAACGAAGAAAATGCAATAAATTGTCAAAAATTAATTGTATTTCCCCCCGGCCCCCAACAGGAAAAATTCCTCTGTGTGGCCATGCCTTGAACCATAATGCATGGCCCTGCAGAGAATTTTTTCCTGTTGGGGGCCGGGGGGAAATTCAATGAATTTTGACAATTTATTGCATTTTCTTCGTTTTGGGGGATTTGTGGAAGGGGCCGCGTACCCTAGCAAACACTGCGTACAGTCATGATTCAGGGGCTAAGCAATGGCCTCGTTACTGTGAGGCCCCAGGATAAAAATCGTGTCGATCAGCTATATATTAGTGCCCTTTTGTGAGGCATTAATCCTCATTACTGTCAATTATGACTTAAGGACGTAGGTCCCTTAGCTGATTAGTCACGCAAAACAAACACTCGCAAATTAAAATTCAATAAAATCTGAGAATGTATGCCATTATCTAGATCTATTAGAAATAAATAATTTTTTTAAATCCTTCCCTAAACTGGGGTAAAAATAAATATTCCACCATTATGACCAACAGTGTACATTTCAGTAGTCAAATGGTTAAACAAAATACACGTACCTGTGCCAATTGTATGATCATTTTCCGGGCCGGTATACGTAGATGGCGTGTTACCTGCCCGCCTCGTCCAATCAATATCATCGGTAGTAGCTTGGGTAAAGGTGCACAGGTCTAAGTCAAAGTCACAACTGCAGATTGGAACTGGTGAATAAGAGTATGATTTTCATTTAGTAAAGGTGGCAAAGCAATATTAGCTCCTCACTTTCAACATTTTTAGAATGAAAGAAAAATTCCGACAAATACATTTTCGAGATGACCTGGGTAATTTGACTTTGTGAAAAATTGATATAACACAAGTTTAAGTATAGAAGATAGTGAAATGATCATAAGATGCTGTGTTAAGAAATTCGTCAGCTAACCCTGGTTTTGCTTCTTATTGTGTATGTAGGACAGCACGATTGGCAACTTATATCCTCAAACATAAATAATTAAATTCGGAAACAAGTTGGCAGATGCAATACAATTATGCTTGTTCCCTCTTTTTGAAAGCACCCCCTATCTGAGGACTGCCAACATTTCCGAACCCCCCTTTCGCGGGCTTTTCCTGCCTTGGAGACCCCCTTATTCATGAAAAATGCTCACGGTATAGCCACAATCAGGGTGCAAAAACAATTTGCACTTGGGTCCAAAAATAAAGTAGGCAAAAGAGCAGTTTCATCAACCCCAAACTGTTCATCCATACCCTAGGGTTGATACCCTGCAATATCCTGGAGGAAACTATCTTGGTTATCATTTTATGAATAGCAACACAACAGGGGTGGTCGGTGTTACGGACACTACACAAAGCTACTGAAATGGAATTTTCAAGCATTATTTATCTTAACACTCAAATATTTTGCACTTTTTGGGGTAATTTCTTGGCCATTTGTGAAAAATAAAACAATTCATACTCACTTCAGTCCATAAATTAGACGCAGTATACACATCAGAGGTAACACACGGTCAAATCTGATAAATTACATTTTTTCAAAACCTGAAACTTTTTAAAAAGCCAACCAAACATTGGTAAATGAGACAAATTACAAACTTTAGTCACATCTGTATACAAATAAAAACAAATCAAATTGCTAGGAAGGCTCGTTTCATATCATAAGTTGTCCAAAATAAATTGTACAAAATCCTATAGGATGTTACGGACACTACGTTTTACTAGTGTACATCCTATTCTTTGATGCAATATATAATCCATTTGCTTTTTTTCTGTCATATGTTGTTGCTGCATATCTTGAGGCCAACAGAGAGTCTCTTTTCAAATCCTCATTACCAAGTCTCTTGGATAGGACTTAACCCTAATAAGGCCGGGGACCATTATGCCCCCCCCAGGCCATATCAAGACCTCAAATAGCCCGGCCTTTTTAGGGTTAAAGGGAAGTCCACCCTTTAGAAGCAGAACACATAAGTCAGTGTTCTATGTATTTCCAGGGGTGGCCGAATTGGAGTGTTTTTTCTTCTTCTCCATCTTCTCTGCTCACTTTTAATCATTGAAAGTAGCATATAACTATTCAGACATTTAAGGAAGATGAAAGAAGACATTAAAAAAATGACATAATGAAGGAAAGCATGAGGAAAGCTTAAAAGAAGGAAGAAGAGAATAAAAAGGATAATAACTTAAGAAAAGAAAAAGAAGAATAAAGAAAAGGATAAGAATTAGAAATAAGGGAAAGGAAGAACAATACAATAAAACAAGGAAGAAGAGAAGAAAAAAAGAGGATAAAACAGTACATCATGTAGCATAATCAAGGTGAGCCTATTAGACATACATGTAAGCATGAAAACCCTAGATTTTTGAAAATACGAAAAGACGATGTACTTCATTATTTTGAGATTTAACTCTGAAAAGATAAATGTATCTCATAGGACCTTACAAGATTTGCTCAGCGAGACCGTAAAAACAATGTTTGGAAAAGAAAGTTCCCATGGTGTCCTTGTATATTACAGTTTTGTATGTGGTGCAGGATTCAATGTGCGTTTGGAGAAGATTGCACTGCATCTGCATGCATTGTCCTCGTATAGTACATACATATGTGCTGCACGATATATTCAGTATATTTAGAACCCATTTTTAGGAACTCGTCAAAATAGCGTTGAAAAAGTTGGGGTCATAAAAAGACCACAGTCTGTACTTTATGAAGAGTATTTCGACCAACTAAGTGGTGTACTTGTAAAACCTTAAAACAGGAACAAAGCATTAAAAAAAATAAGTGATAGTTACTTTATATGCAAAATTATGGTGTAATCAATAATCATTTCTGATACGTTTATTCAATAATCCTCAGATGTTCGGTGATCGTTGTTGGTGGTGGCAATTAAACCAGTATTCATAAAATCCTCAGATATATAAATGTCTTTAAACAAGTCAAAAGCGACCTCAGTTTTTTTTTTTTTTCTCTCTCTCTCCATCAAATAGTGAGCTTAATTTATCGAAAGAAATTGCGAGCAAAAACGTAGACGATGAGATATTTAATAAATCCCCTTAAAGGGGGTGTCCTCTAAAGAAGGTATTTTTCCGTAGTCCTCAGGAGACACTAGTCATACACGTACTGGTGAGTGCCCTATGCTCATATTCAATTCAATACTTAGGACAAAATGTAAGCTTTTAATTTAGTATCTGGCTTAGATAAAATACTTAGCTAATTCTGGTACTCAATTCAAACTTTTGGCTACCGGTAAGTATTTAAGTCAACTTCCTACCAGAATACACCAGTTTACAGTTGTATCAGTGCGCATGCACAGACAGTTGACCTCGGGTCATTGGCCCCGGAAGCGGGGCCAATAACCTTTGACCAGTGGTATTTATGCGTAAATTATGATGATATCACTGCCTACGCGCTGCGTTGTGCGCTCAAATCATCATTTGCATGGGCGCAATCTTAATTTACGCATAAATACATGACCTCTAGGTCATTGGCCTTGTTTGAAATGGCGCACACAACTGTAAACTGGAGGGTGTTTCACAAAGATCCTAAGTAGAACTTAACTCTAAGTTGAACTTAAAAATTATGGACAGCCATTGGAGTCTTAAAATTAAATATATTCAAAAGCAGAAATTCAAGTATTTTAGACTTTTTATAAATTCCACATCCAGAACATGAAATCTCCTTGATGATAGAAAATATGAATGATTTGAATAAACAATTAATGCCTTTCAAAATAACTTTTACAAAATATTTTCAAAGATGCTAATGGTGTATTAAGCCAATTATTTGGAGGCCTTGATTGGCAGGCATATGGCAGTATTATAACCTGCGCACAATTATATCAGCGCGCATTTACTGCAACGCATCAATTGCGCAAATACTTTTGATTGACCGTGTGACGTCACAATGCTTATCAGTAAGTACTTAGATGTTGTCTTACGTAAGTATAAGTCTAAAATGCGATTTGAATACGAGATAAGTAAATTACTTAACTTAGCCATTTACTTAGTTAATTTCTTACTTATGCTAAGTATTGAATTGAATACCTGCCCTGGTGTTTATGTGTGGGTGGACGTAAAATACAATATAGTGACTTATACATTTTGTAGATAGGCAATTAAATGATTAAAATCTTGTATTTTCTCATGCAACATACATATTTGATGTCATAGACAGCTTTTACAATGTTAACATTTATTTTAGAACACTTTTATTCAGAAAAAAAGAGGTACAGTTTGGCTTGCAGGCCTTGATATTACTCCTTCTGTAGTGTCCGTAACACAGATCTGTAGTGTCCGTAATACTGGCTCCTACTCTTTTCTACCCTCGATATTGAAACAAAAACACAATGATGCATTTAATTTGATACTTAATTACATCTAACTAATATTATTGAAATAAAATATTGATATTAAATTACTCGTAAGTCAATTTTTTTTAATTTTTTTTAAATTAAATTCATGAAAAGTAGCTTATTTGTTTGCGAAATATCATATCCAGGAGAAAACCTTCAATGAAAAGAGAATTTTTGTTATTCATTGAGAAGAGAAACTGTATCAAAACAAATTTGAATTACAAATTAGTAGTATTTTGTCATCAAGCTGTATTTTTAGACCATCACACACTTATGTATGTTGTGTTACGGACACTACATACGTTACGGACACTAAAAATGCCATTCATTAAATTGCAACAAAAGAACTGTTATGCTTAGCTGAATATTAATATACCACAGCTAGTCCTCGGAGGTAGTTACACAAAGCAAAGTATATTAAAAAAATTGAATTACACCGTTACGGACACTACAGGTAATTCCGGACAAAATTTATGATCGGAATGTGGGCATATATTTTTGTAACGCTTGTATCTTTGTTTGATTTTTAGTTTCTGATGATAGGACAACATGTTACTCAGAAAATATAACCAATTACCAATTGATATAATGCTAAATTATATGAATTATAGAGGCAAAATTATACACAAAGCTGTTTTTCAAAAAAGCGTTACGCTTGTCTCTCTTCACAGAAATAACCACTGTATCGCAATTCTTGGGTCAATTCTCAAGCCGTAAAAAAATACTGAGTGGAGATAAAAAGGACTATAAGATGGCATGAAAAGATATGGCATATTTTGTGTAATTCCACAGTAACACCTTATGAAAAAAGACACATTTTTGCAGTGCAAATGCGTAACAGCCAAAAAGTGGTATTTTTGGCCCTCTATTACCACTCTCACACAGCCAACACAAAGTAAATTAAAAAAAAAGTTGCTGCCTGATGAAGAACTCATATGGTCCAACATTTCAGGCCACAAGACATTTGATTAGATGACTTTGTGTTTCTAGGAGAGATGCGTAACACTGTATGTAGAATAGTTGCACCCTGATTGTGGCTATACCGTCAATGTACCCACCTAAATTCGTAATAATTTCTCAGGAGTCCAAAAAGATGAGAGAAAAAAAGAAAAAAAGATCCCCTTTTTAAAGAAATCTCCAGGTGAAAAGTTAAAACACCCTTTTTTTTTTTACAATTCTCGGGCCGGACTTTGTCGCACAAAAAGTGCCCCTTTACCGGACATGTTGGTAACACGCATGGGTTCCGTCTGTACTCGGAGTGGGGGGGGGGGGGGGGCAGAAACATGGTCATGGAGAAGTTTTTCGTTGTGAAAGCGTAAACCCGCTAAAATCTGTTGATTTCAAATGACCAGCAAATAATGAACCTCGACCAGTAAATCAATATTAGGGACTTTTAGATTTGCACGATGAGAACGTGTGACCTCCTTTTAAGGCACTGCCAGTGCTTAAAAGGACGTCACATGTGACTGCCAGTGCCTTAAAAGTACGGAACACGTCC